CGACAGAGTCGAGATAGACTTTGGTGACCACGCTTCGTCGGACCCGGAGAGATGCGCGGGCTGTTTTAGTCGACAGTTCATTCTGCATCCTCCGGTGGATAAAGCCAAACGTCGAGTGACCAGAAGGCTGCACAAAATGCCAAAACCTAGTGCGCCTCTTGTTTTCACCAGCGGTGAGGTCAGGGTAGCCATCGGGAAGGCGAAAGCCTCCGAAACCATTGGACCCGACGGAATATGCATGTTGATGCTGAAAAATTTGGGTCCTGCGGGAGTAGCGTACCTAACGGGGGTCCTCAACCTGTCTGTGGCCACTCTCGTCATTCCAGACATCTGGAAAATGGGGAGAGTGGTCCCACTTCTCAAACCGAGGAAACCAGCCAACAGAGGAGAGTCTTATCGCCCGATAACTCTCCTTTCCCCGGTAGCGAAGACACTCGAGGCCCTGCTGCTCCCGTACTTCACGAACCACCTGACTCCAGCGAAGCATCAACATGGGTTCCGTAAAGTGCATAGTACAACAGCAGCACTTAACGCCATAAACACTCAGATAACTCGTGGCCTAAACCGAAACCGCCCCTGTGAGAGAACTATTCTAGTAGCGTTGGACCTGTCCAAGGCGTTCGACACTGTCAGTCATTCAACGCTGCTAGAAGATATAGAGGCCTCCTCACTCCCACAGGGACTCAAACGGTGGCCGGCGAATTACCTGAGTGGTCGACACTCGTCAGTAATCTGCAGAGACAAAACCATCAAGCCACGTAAAATTAAACAGGCGGTACCACAGGGTGGTGTCCTGTCCCCGCTACTGTTTAATTATTACATATCAAAGCTTCCTCAGCCACCAGAGGGTGTTAATATAGTCTCGTATGCTGACGATTGTTCGATCATGGCGTCTGGGAATGGAATTGATGACTTGTGCTCAAAAGTAAACGGTTACCTCTCCGAACTTTCTCGCTTCTTCACTGCAAGGAGCCTTGCCCTATCCCCTGCGAAATCCTCGGCAACCCTTTTCACCACATGGACGAAGGAGGTCAGACTGCCACTGGGTATTCACGTCGATGACGTAACAATACCGACGGTGAATAACCCGAAAATCCTCGGAGTTACCTTCGACAGTCTGCTCTCCTTCTCGGCGCATACAACCGCAATTGTCAACAAAGTACAGGGCCGCAACAATGTCCTCAAGTCGCTGGCCGGCAGCACTTGGGGCAAAGATAAAGAAACGTTGTTGGCAACATACAAGGCAATTGGCCGGCCGGTTCTGAACTACGCAGCGCCCGTATGGTCGCCGGGGACTAGCAGGACGCAGTGGATGAAGCTGCAGACCTGCCAAAACACGGCATTACGAACTGCGAACACCACCTTCACGACGAGGCACAGATGCTCCCAGTAAAGGCGCATAACATAATGCTCTGCAAGCAGTTCCTCGCTGGGAGCCACAGACGTGGCCATCCCAGCGGGCAACTCTCGCGGAAGAGCCCTCGCCACAGCATGTCAGGAGGCATCTTTACGAACTGACAGACGAAGTGCAGAGGTAAATTAAACAACCTCTGGACCCGTCAACCTACCGACAGGCCCTCAACGGCATTCACAGGGAATCAGTCTCAAGTTATGTAGACTCCCGCCCTGTGAATGCCGTTCTAGGCACACAACCACCGGACGTGGACGGGACAGAACTCTGTCTGCCGTACAAAGCAGCATACATTTCCGAAAAGTAGGGACATTTGCGTACTGAATTGGGAATTGAAATTGCTCAGTACCTTCCAAATCAGTACGTCTGGCAACCGTGCACCAAATATTTTTGAGCGGTTTTTTAAGCAAATTTCCTCCGTGCTTCGCCGGTAAAGCCTGCTGTATAGTTCAATTTTGACCAATATCTTCGTTATTACTTAACTTTTTGCAATAGTTGATACATGAAAAAATAGAGAACTAAAATATCTTTCAGAATTATAGACAAACAGGCATAATATGCCTTTTTTCAAGCTCACACTCAAAGCATTCGCATGTGAACAACAAGTTTTGACAGATGTGTGTGTGCGTCCATGAGAATGCAAATGGAATTCTTTGTCTTTGCGAACGTTCACGCTCACGCTCGTATTGAACTGTATAGCAAGCTTAAGATGGTTCTACTTCTGCTATAACGATATTTTGCTATTACATATCTTTTATTGAATATACAGGTCTGTTGGTGCGATTTGCAAAATAATTTTGAATATTTGAAATGAAAGTAATATATAATATTTCGAATGGAAACTGTTAAAAGCTCATTATTTACGTCATATCCTTCGATAAGGTGCCAAATTTTTGCCTTTTTTATTAAGAAATCTCCGAAATATGTTTTGTAAGTCGCACCGATTTAAAATCGTACGATTTGCAGAACATTCCTGATAAATTATTTATAAAGTGCCAGTTGATAGCCAAATACTCTGGACTGTAAATTTTTGATAACTTTGAGGGAAATAAAAATTTATCAGATTAAAACATCAAGTAGTTCTAAAGTCTAAAGCGCTTTATAACTCGGAAAAAGAAACAAAAAAATCCCTTTTTTATTAATAATTTCTTCTTCTTATTTGTCACCAGGGATGTTGTGCATGTCATATTTTTCACATTGGTGAATGCGAATGTGCGAATTCGAATGCGAATGTGAATGTTCGCAATAACATTAAAAAAGCTATAATCAACTTAAGTCATCGTTTTTATTACTTAAAAATTTTGTAAATTATTAGAGCACTGAACGAATGCCTTACCTATACAGTATTTTAATCTAGTAAATCTAGTGAAAAATATACAATACTAGTAGTCAAAGTTCAAAAGGGGTATATTATATTTCAAAAAAAGTACTTTTGCTGCCTTTTCTCCCATGAGGCGATTTCTTAGAAGCTCGTATATAAGCCCGGCTGCACTGAATAATTGCTTACTTGGAACCACCAATCGAGAGGATTTTCACCGAGATGAGCTAGGCCTTCAATTGGGCTTTAATTTAACAAATTTTAATGTCTCCAGATTCTACATCCGAGTTTTCGCTTTCGCTGGAGGAATCTAAAATTATTTCTAGGTTGCTTGTAAGGCTTTTAGCAGTACTTGTTGAAGGCCCATCAATGTTGATTGATATACTACTTAACCGTTTAGCGCCTGAAGCTAAAATCCTGTTATTGTCCGCACCCTGGTTAGACCGATTTACGCTGCCTTTACATAAGACAATTCGATACAAGAAGGCGTCCAGACAATTATAAAGACAATACATTTTTCAGCAACCGCCGCTCCAAACACAAACCACGTTTTTATAATTTTGCATTTTTTGCGATTTTGTCTTGCCCCTTTTTCTCAAATTAACCAAGACTACCGAATTGTCCAAGTTACTGTCCAATTCAATGTCTTCGAAAAATCAAAGACAGTGACGAAGACAATTGTCTTTGTGTGAGTGTATTAGTGAAAAAGTGTGAATGTACTGCTATTGTCTTGGCAAAAGTGTTGGTTGAATAAGGAAAATGAATTAGCAACAAGAGTTTACGGGATG